TGGGCCTGAAAGTACAAAAGCTCAAATAAATCAATAGCTTTTCATCTACAGGATCTGTATGTACGCATTCTGAGCCTGAAGACAGATCAATATGTGCACACATCCACCGACACGTGAAGTTCGGACTGGATGAGACCAACACGGTGTTCAAAATATCCCTGAGCTGTCTGTGGCCCTACATGCTGTTAAAAAAAAAATCAGTCCCCTTCAAGACAGATGAAAGCATGTGGCAATATGTTTCTACATCAGTAAGGTTTCATACCAAATACACTTGAAATTAAACAATGGTCTAAGATGATGAAATTAATAGAATAAAATAAAAATGATGACCTTAACCTTGCCTAGGTTGACTAGGCCAGAAGCCAGTAAAAAAAAAAGGTCTGAACCAGATACAGACACACCAAGAGGTAAGTTTTACTCCATGGAAAAAAACATTTGCTCAGTCTGTTTTGGCGGAATAAAAAAGGACATCAAGTGTTCAAAGACCATAAGTTATTTCAGAAGAAAGTGCACTAAATAGTCAAAATGTGAAGAACCCCCCCAGATGTAACCTAAAGTGACCGTATTAAAAGGGTAATACGGATGATCTGTTGCTGACCCTCACTGACCTAAGCTTTTCTGGGGTCACTGGAACATTATGTATTATGCCAAAACGCTCCAAACTCAGAGATCTTACCTAGGCCCTGGCTGGTTCTTGTGGCAATTTAGGCATCAAGAAACTTTGTATGCCTAGGCCAAGCCTCAGGCTACCAGCCCATTTATTTTCAACGCTCTCTTTAGCGGGCTATCACACCAACAACAGGACAACCAGGTTAACCCCTTAGTGACTAAGGGTAAAACAAATTTTAATGCCTGAGCACAATTTTGTAAATTTGACATGCGATCGTAAAACTGTACATATCATCACAACTACTTCATGTATCTAGGTACGCTCCCAAATGCTCACCTCCAGGACTTCTCCAGAGTCTCTCCCATCCTCTGGGATGTGTGTTTTTTTTAACACACATATTTACATTTACATACAATGCATCTTCCTCTCCATTCCAGAGAGAAAGTAAACATGGGGGTGGGCTTCACAGTAACTGATCACTGTGATAGCCAATCAGAGGCTATCACAGCGATCAGGTGACCTGGAACTGGAAGTCCTGGGTCCCGATCGTTTGTACAAGAACCAGGGCTACCGGTGAGTGCCCGGTCTCTGTGCTGGGAGCTTGCGGTTTTGCACACTCCCAGCACAAAATGCAGCCCAACAGATAAAGGCCCACTTCAGTGAGGCCGCATGACTGCATACCATTGGTGGAAAAGGGGTTAAATACCTGCAATATACACTTTCACAATTGTTTTTCATACTTATATGATAAGAAACTGGACTTCTAAGCTGGAAAAATCTCTCCATCATATGTTAATGTCCTTGTTTTTGTAATCATTTAAAAAAATACCATGTTGACCAGTAACCGAGTCACACATCCTCTAGGGTTCCCTGCTTGGTTGCCGATGGTTAGGGATGAGCTCAGGTATGTACAGATACTAGTCCGAACCCCATCTGAGCTAACCCAACCAGAAAATTGCCACTATGGACCAAGGCAATCCTTGCACCACAGCCACACAAATACATGGGGTGAGTATATGCACAGCTGCAGGGAGAACACCACAGTCACTTATGATTGGCAGTTCACAGTGAGAGCTTCCTGGTGGGATAGCTCAAGCAGGTTTGGACTAGTATCTAAAGACTTGACAAAGCGCAACTGCGTGAAACATGTCGTCTTGGTAACCCTACACATTCTCCCAGCTGAAGCCAACGTTGGACACTGCCTTCGCTTGCCATGGTGACACCACCCGCGATGCCGGGACGCTGACACCACGTGATTTGAAGTCGACAGGAGCATTCTCCGATCTCAGCTCCCTTCAGAGCGGACGGGCCGTCTGTTGGAGTCACACTGTCAACTTCAGGCTGGTCAAATTTTATTATATTTGCTACTTTGTCTCACCCAACAAAGATGCACCTTCATTAAGGTGCTTGTCTGAGAGCATTTTCCACAGCGCCTATTTTTTTTCAGTTCTCTAGTATCTAAACACGCCTAAGCTCATCTCTGTTGGCGATTTATCAGGCCTCTGTGGGTATAGGCAAAGTGGCTAGAGGTAAGGCAATACACAAACACTTTCAAAATCAATATATAAAGCAAGTCTTATTAACACTCCCTTAACCTAACCTTTTATCCTTCTTCACTTAAAATGCTTTAGTGCATTTTAAATGGAATGTTTTATGTATACACAAAATCCCATGTCGAGGATATTACATAAGAAGAATGAAAAAGAACATCAAATGCTTTTATGCGCAAAAATAGAATTTTTGTTTAATGAGGGACAACGAAAGTTGGATACAGTCTGGATGTACTGTTACCTACAGGAATCTGATGGAAGCCTGATCTGGCAAGATTTGCCTAGTGTTCGACTCTGCAGGAAGGTGCTGATTACAAGGGTCCATAAAGAAAAGTTGACTCAGAGGAGGGTGCCTAAGCATCCCACAATGGGGATGCCAGGAAAAGTCGCTAGGCTAATTACAAGAGCAAAATGTGGTTAGACCTCTCTCAACAGAGCTGAAGAAAAGACGTCCATCCTACAAGACACTAGCTAAAACTGTACCATACTGGATAGAAGAGGGTTTATACTAGGGTTGGCTTGAAATTGTTATGTTTGCCAGTGTCTAATCCTTCTATAGGTGGCAACCTTCACCCAACAGATGTGGAAAACCCAAATGAATATGTTCCTAAGAGTTAGGCAAATCATTAAGTATGATAGAGTACCTGCTCAAAGAATCCATGCTGCTCATAAGCAATGGCAGTGGCAGTTTCTGGGAACTTGCAGCGTTTCTGCCACAAACCAGCCCACATGTCTTCTTCTTGGAGAAGGGAATATAACTCTGCAAGCGAGTCCAGGATCTCCTAAAAGAAACAAAGAAGATATATACACTTGTGCCATAGATATGCAAGAAAGGTTTCATAGAAATGTGCCATAATAATCTAATAGGACATTTCTACATCAAGTATTTCTGCCTAAATCCTTCATTAAAGTTTGCAGTTTATTACAGACTTAAATGAGAGGACTTCTAGCACTCAAAGACTCAATGCTAGATAAGATGAAAACTGACCAATACAGGGTTCTGTAACACACAAAAATATAAATGTTTATCAAAATGAAATCCAAGACTTTGGTTATAGTGATTGGTTACCCATCAACATATCTTTCACTGATGCGTTTTCTCCTCAGTAGCTTGTATTGGCCTCTGACTTCACTAAAGCAAATCACACGTTGGAGGCAAAAAAATGCTCCAGTCAGTGTTGATGGGGGAATCCCTTCCGCTGCACTACTGTATTCCGACAGCAGAAGTTTTACCCCACCATCAGAATACAATGATCACTGCTTGCAGCTATAGCCGCCAGCAGTGATGACACAAAAAAACAAGATAGGCTGGTTGTACTGAAGTTGATCAACAGATCGATTTCAGTACAACTAGCCTGCCCATCAATGGATCAAGATTTGTCCGGTCCTGCTGAACGGCTGAATTTCAATCAGTCTAAGGCCAGCCTAAGTCAATTTTTCTGTCTATCCAATCCTACCTAGTTGTTTGAGCAATAATTAAAATTCCTCATTGTGGAGAAAAACTAGTGGCATGTGCCCATTTAATTTTTTAACAGCATCTGAAATTGGAGTGCAACCAAATATTCTAGTAGAAATTCCACACCACTGGAGACCTTGAAAAAGGAAGACTGCATATAATTCAACTTCCCAAGAACCACCAAAACATACATTTTAGGTGAAGCTGGCCTTGAGGCCTCATGCACACGGGGCATCTGTAACAGCCTCTCTGAATACCAGAATTCCTGGCAGGAAAATGATGCTTAAAAGACATGCAGTAAACTGCGTATTGCACACATATTTTTTGCCGTGTTTATGCATTCTATTGGCCATAATATTAAAGTAGAAGTATAGGCAAACCTTTTTTTTTTTCATTTTGGATAGGACTGGAACGGGTTATAACCACTGACCGATTTATTCATCTGTGTCCCATTGCAGAAATTTCCCTTCACTTCCTGTCTCATAATCAAACAGGAAGTGAGAGGAAATCCCTGCAAATTAAGGGAATACCTTGGGGACCCCCAGGTCACCAAAACTAATGTCCCCATTGGAAGATTTACCCTCTAATACTGTTCCGGGGACAACCCAAAATTTGGGATTTTCTATTACTTTCTCTTGATAATGATAATGGTAAACAGAATATAGAGGATGAATCTCCTTAAAAGAGACACAGAAAGCAATAAAAACTGATAGGTCTTCTAATCTATCTCCACTCTATCCAAAACTAAAAAAAAGTTTTGCCTTTGGTTACATTTAATTTATTCTGCCCATTGGAATGCAATAATGCTCAAATGTAAGACTTGTCTAGCGGTTTTGTGTGTTTATACATGTTTAGGCAAGTCTAGAGCTTTTTCTGCTTTTCAGCTCCTCTCCTGAATGTGCCTTTGATTTTTTTTTCAGCTTGCAAACACACCAACTCTAATAAGCCTGTAAATATCTGTGTGCATGGACACATATGCTTACACAGAGGTGCTTTTACAGGCTGGCAAAAAAAAAACATCTGCAAAAGTAGCATTTTTTTTTAGGCTCTGTGTGCATAAGCCCGTAAAAGACAATTTTGCTTTTGGTAAAGTTGCTCTTCAAAGTGTTCTCCCACCCTCCTTATTGTATTCCACAAACTTACCTTCTGTCACTGTGTGGCACTGTCCACCTTTGTAGGGGGAGAAAAAAAAATTTCTGGCCTACCCCTTCGCCTATGCGCTGTGGCTTCATAATTTTTTTATGGCTGGTCCAACACATGGTGGCCAAGCCAGTCAGGCAAGTATAGACCAGCCATAATACAAATGAGGTCCTGGCTCATAATCACAGGGCTTAACCATATCTGCAAAGAAGTGGCAGAGCACTATAGCGAAGAGCTCCAGAGTGGGCTTGAAGGTTAAAGTGACATTTTTCTTTGCCTTTCATATGCTCATATAAATAAATGACTCATCAGCAGCTCTTCCCTGTGTTTTGCGGAGCTCTCCTGTCATAATATCTAACACTGTACTCCATCCCATTTCTCTCTACTATATTACAAGTTTTTAACTACCCATTTCTGTCATTTTAAATTACTGCTTAGTAGGCTAATGAAAGCCAAGATGATTTTCATCACATTGTTAATGTTTTGCATTCCACTTTCTTACTTTTTTGCTTTTAAATGTGTCTGTTCTTTATTAATGCGTCTGGGGTCATTGTTAGAAAATCTCTATTCTAAGCAAGGGAGCAGAAAAATAACTGAGCAGTGGGAAACCAAATCAGGTTTTAATGGCTGAGAATACATGTTCATAGTGCATTTGGCACACAAAACAAAGTCAGCGAACATTATCAGCACAGTAAAACATTATTACTTTCTGTCTGCCAGCCAGAATTTATATAGTTACCTTCTCTGAAAGTGCTGATGCAGGAGGAACAACACTTACTTGCTGTGGTGGGGTGATGCTTTCTTGCTCATAAAATTCAGTTGTCTGTTTAGGTTTGATCTGAAGACTTAGGCCTTTCTCAAAAGCCTGATGCTCCAGCATGAGTGTGGACCGGAACCAAAGATTGTGCGTCTTTCCCAAGTATTTCAGCACACAGGGCCTGATGGGGATTGGTGGCACACACTGAGACATGGCCTCCACGAAGCAGTTCAAGGCACTCGGCTGACAATCTCTCTGCACCTGGTGGCTCCCGCTGCAAAGGAATGGGCTGATTTCCCCAGCTAATGCCTAAAACAAGATAAAAAGCAACGATTGTCAGCTTCAAATTAACTGAAACCTCCTAGGCACCTTTATCAAAACAAAACCCATATGAATGAAATGACAGTGTACTGTGAATTATTAACAGCAGCTGAAACAGCACAAACCAAGCACATCATAAGACTAATATTCAAATGATTACTCTGCAGTCTAAAATTCGAGTATGATTATGAATCGCTGCATCCAAAAAGAAAAAATCGATACAGGTGATTTATCTTTGGATTTAAAGGTCAGTGCTCATTTTAGGGTACTTCTTTTTTAACAAACATGCCTACTCATAATTGACAGCTCCAAACTTAAAAACTCTCTTTGAAACTAAGTGTATGCACAAAGCTGAACACAAGAGAGGAGTGATGGCTTATAAAAAATAATGGTTAATCTTCCTAGACCACATCCGTAGCTTCTTGCATCGGATTCTAATATGAGTGCTGCAGATGGTAAGCTCAGTGAAAGTCACAAATAGTAAAAAAACAGGGCTTTTGTGCTTACCATAAAATCCTTTTCTTGGAGCCCATAGAAGGACAGAGGAATCCAAATAAAGTTTGGTTATAGCGCTGCCTACAGGAGGATTGGCCACTGGCAAACAGAAAATTTAGTAGCCCAGCCCCAGTTGGAAGATCTCATAACAACTCAAATTCCCCAGATACAGGGAGAAGAAACTATCTTAGTTGCTCTAAGAGGCTGAAGGATCACACCATGGATAATCTGGCCCATAAAGCCAGGTCTGCTGGACTGCTCAGTATCCAACATAGGGTATGGACCTCTTTATTAAGGGCTTAAGCTAAATGATAGATCGCTACCAATACTGAAATCCAACAAAGCCTGATCTGGATCGTGTAAGTGCTAGATCCTTCCGGTAGGTGCTGACTACAATGATCCATAAAGCTGACACTCTCCAGAGAAGGTTTTCTTAGCATCCCACAATGGGGATGCCAGGAAAGGGCAATAGGTTGAACACAACGGCCAAAACTCACAGAAGTGAGCAGGTGTGACCAGGTGAAACAGAGGAACCAGATCCTTAGCCATGTAAGGGACAGTCAGAACTGATCCTAGGGAATCTTGTAAAACAGTGAGCCCATCTGGAGAGGAGGGACTTTACATGTCTCAAATACAGGAGATTTTTCTTAATAAGAAGTGGTAGTCCAGATGGGGCACAGATCTGTTAACACATGGATTGGAGAAAGGGATGGGAGAAACACAAGACAAGGGAGATCAGGTGTAACAGAGGAGGCACCAAAGGCTAAGGATTAGCCTGTGAACCTAACAGGAAGCTTTCTGCACCTAAATGCCTGAAATGCAAACTACCCAAGGACCCGCCAGGACACAATCAGCCTCCTGTCTAAATTGGCCCTAGTATGTATGAATGTGAGTTAGGGACCTTCGATTGTACTCCCCTTGAGGGTAAGGGACTGATGTGAATGTACAATATATATACGTAAAGCACTGCATAAATTGATGGCACTATAAGTACCTGAATTAAATAAAATAAAGGCCATGCTACAGAAATAGTTAAAGAAGGATAGACAACTTCTTACGAGAGGCAAGAGTACACTGTGGCCTCACTAATCATGATATCCTGTGTAGGCCTGAAAAGACAAAGTAGTCAGATGATGTTTGGATGTGGTATCAGCATCCTATCTGCATAGCCAAAATGCTCTGTGGAGCTGAATAGACATCAAACTCATGAGGGAAATAAGCTTAGATTCTTGTAACAAGTCAATAAAATTGAAAATGTAATGCTCCAGACATTTGTGTTACATGCGAAGGTAAACATAGTCAAACCTTGGGGTGGACAGAAATTTTTGGAGGGATCTGACCCAATCTCACATAATTTGACAGAATAGTGGCAGTGCCAACAAGGGACACAGAGGGCTGAACCAAACAGATTAATTTTGGCCTTATAGAAGGACTATATTTTTTAAGTCAGCAGAATCTTTAAAGATGTCTTCTACTTGTTTAGTAGTTCTCCTGTTATGGTGGGTCACTGGTGGATCCACGGTGGGAATAGACCACTGTTTAATAAATTTCCTCTCAAGGATGAACAGTTCACAGTTCTGGACACAATACCAGTTGGAGCCCAGGACTCTTCAGGGATTTTTCAGTCCCCTTGGACAAAAGCTTGAACATAATGAAAAACATATAGAGGAGTAATGCTAAATGACAAACAATAAGCATTATCCCCATTACAAGTGCAGTCATTCTGAACCACATGTGACCTGCATACTTGTAAACAGATCTTGGGAATTGTGATCACTTATGCAGTGTTGCAAACCATACCAGTAATGTGAAGAAGCATTATGGTGCAATCTGAATTCCTGTTCGCAGATTCACATATCATTGCTGACATATGTGGCACAGTGCAAAAAGAGCCAGAAAAATTTCAGCGGAGATGACCCTATTCCACCAGAAGTAAAAAGCTTTCTTAAAGGTTTGCCTTTAAAAAATAGATGCATGGCTTTTGCAGGTTAAAAAAATGTGCATTTATTATTTCCTTGGGAGCCTTTAAGGCATTGCACCCATAATCAGCAGAACATGGGTGCAATGTCAGGCTCTTTCATACTGTCAGTACAAGTCTGCCATACCTCTGAGGCAGGCAGTTACTGAAGTTCAAAAAGTATATTGGACTAGGAGAGCACTCATCAGCACCATCAAGGGTCATTGAGAACTGCAAGTTGACAGCTGCAATGGCTGATGGTACTTGTAGGCATTATTTCACAGGACCCTGTGAATAATTGATGTGGCTGTGTGGGCGGAGCCCTGCATGGCTGTACTATTTTCAAACTGTGACAGCGGGTTCAGGTAGAAGGTCCTCTGACTACTGTCACAAGTAGGGGGCAGATCAGGAGGATGATGCTCAATATGTTACACCCTAAATACGGGTGTAACGTGTAGAGAAAGGAGAACCTATTCTTTAAAAAGTTTTGAGTGTGAAAACATTTTCTTGTGCAGTTGCTCTTTGATTCTCCATTAGTGTCCCACAGTGCAATACAGCTACTTCAACCTGAAGAATGTGACTGTTTTCCTGCAATTAATGTTTACAAAACTCAACCTCCAACATGCCTGGAATCAGGATGGCTGACCGTACTCTACAGACATTTCCACTATGTCTGAAACATGAGACTGTCAGAAATTGAACAACTGAACAGCCTTTCTTCCAAGGGAGGAAAAACAAAAGGAACGCAATGATGCAAGGCCGCAGTAAAATCACAAATTCTTAAAGGATTTTTCCACTTTTTTTCCTTCTATACATAAATCCCATACACTTTTACCCCAATGATAACCATCAGGGGACACATCCATCATACACTCAATATGGTCAGACAGCTCTAAGCTGTCTGACCTGGTTTATTGCCAAGTAGCTTGGCCTTAGAAATCCAATGCATTTGTTACAATGAAAACAGCTGATTAACGAAAATTCAAGCAAGACAGGAATTTGTTCCCATTACATTTAAAAGGTGAAAAGCCCCTTTGAGGATAGTGATGGTCTTTTCCTAATAATGGTCAGGACAATAGAAGGCTTACTACCCAATCACCAATAACTATGGATAGTTTTATATAGCAAAACAAAGAATTAACCCAATGACACAATTAGGTAGGATATATAAAAAAAAATATACACACAATAACAGATTTTACTCACATGCTGCTGCCGATCTGTAAGTATTTTCCACAGTCTAGGGAAAAGCTGAATCCAAATCTTCTCCGCCAAAGGTGTTGATATATGACAGAGCTGGACAAAGGCACTTAACAGTGCTCCTGTCTGTAGCAACATAGAAAGGGAAAAAAAAAGGCATATAACTTAACAGCATGGACATCAACAGCGGTCTATAACAACTTCAGTGACACAGTGTGATGCGCAAATTGGAAATGTTCCAACTAGCCAGAATGCCAGTGTCCCATTCACTAGGCTCACACCATTGAGTTATACTGACCTTGACTTCTCGTAATGAGTCCAGAAACTTGTCATGTCTGTTGGTCAACATGTGAAGCTGGTTTCCAATATCTTTCTCAGATTGTTCTTTCGTTTTTGGATTGGTGCTTTGGTCTCCTGGTGCAAGCTCAATATCAATTTCCACATCCTATGAACAAAAAAAAAAATGGAACAGTCCTTAAAGTTGTACAGATGTTTTTTTTTTTTTTATTGGAGCAGGAAGGTGTTTTTTTTTTTTTTGCAGAAGAAAAAACTATGATTCTTTGCAATACGAACGTGCAGAACAGTGTACATTTCTGGTATCTACTGGGTGCCAGAATGATTAAACTCTCAGACGCATGCATGGAAATTCTGCAATCCCGGGCCAGCCAATTTAAGATGGCCAAAGAATCCAAATGTGGAAGAAGCCAGCAAAAAATATCGGCACCAGTGAGTGAGCTAGCAAGCGCTGCATCACTGGAGCGAAGGTGAGTATAGTTTCACTTTAAAGTTGAATTGAACTAAAAAAAAGTGAAGATTTGCTATATTATAGGGAACAGCTAGAAGTGTCAAAAGTAGTACCCTGAAAAATCTAACTTGTCTTGAAAACCTCTTGAAAAATAGCAGCCCACTGGTATACAAGTGTGCCTAGGCACTCCTGTGCTTACAGCTACATAGGTGTATATCTGCAGTGTTAAATCTAAGGCATTGCTGCCTGTTACTGGTTGTCTCTGAAGATTTGGAGTGAGATTTAGTGATATTAAAATTGTGCTGCTCATGGTTTTCTTTTCTGCAGGCTCTGACATGAGGAAGTAAAGCCCTGCCTCTGCCAAGAAGGCTGCCTCCACAGAGAGATACGCTGCAGGCTATGCTATACTGGTGGCTAGTCCTTTGTGGCATTGTAAAGATTAATACTGGACAACTAAAGCTTTTACAATACTATTTAGTGTGATTCTAAAGGTAGAAGGTGTTTTACCTTCATGCATTCTCTACATTAAGATGAACACCCTTCTGTGATCCAGCACTATGCCCAAGAGCAGTGGTTCTCTCCTGCTTCACTGGAGATTGAGGCAGCAGCCAGAGCCATTAGCTCCTGCTGCTGTCAATCACAGCCAACAGACAGCAAGGGTTGCAGCCTCGCCTCACTGTGCTGTCAATGGACACAAAGAGCACAGCTCAGGATCAAGCATGCATGAATGCGCCCAAAGCAACAGCTTGCAATGGAGACACCAGGACAGAAAGAACCAGCAGATCAGCGGGGAACCCCAGAAGAGGAGGATCAGAGCTGCTCTGTTCAAAACCATTGCACACAGCATTGTACACGTTATTTAAAAAAACAAAAATACACTTTCCTTTAGAATCACTTTAACCACCTTCCTGCCCAGGCCAATTTTCAGGTTTCAACGCTATCACACTTTAAATGACAATTGCGCAGTTATGTAACACTGAACCCAAACTAAATTTTTAGCATTTTGTTCACACAACTAGAGCTTTCTTTTGGTGGTATATAATCACCACTGGGGTTTTTATTTTTTGCTAAATTAACAAAAAAAGACTGAAAATTTTGAAAAAAAAAAACCCACATTTTTTTTTTGTTTCTGTTCTAAAAGTTTCCAAATAAATAATTGTTCTTCATAAATTTAGGCCAATATGTAATCTGCTACATACATGTAATCTCCTTTGGTGAAAATAACCCAAATCAGTATTTGTAAGAGTTCACAAGCTATGGGATATATCTGAAAATTGGTAAGTCCTGAAGTACTGACAGCCAATCTAATTTCTTGAGGCCCAAAAATGTCAAAACAGTACAGATATCCCCCAAATGACCCCTTTTTGCAAAGTAGACAGTCCGAAGTATTTCATAAGAGGCATAACAGGTTTTTTGTGGTTGTAATTTTTTTGTCATAAACTAAAAAAATTACTAAAATGTTTTGTTTTTTTACATACTGTCACCAGTACAATACAGCATCATCATATAACTGGTGTGGTGGTGATCAGGGACACTGACTGGTGACAGTACCAAAAAAAAAAATAATATATATTATTTTTTTTTTTAATTACTTTTTTCTCTTCTTTGCTATAAGCAAGCATTTCACTGAATAAAATCGAATCATTCAGCTTTTTTTTTTGTTGTGATTAGCTGTGATTGGCCACGGCTAATCACATAACACAGATGGGCTGTGATTGGCCCAGCCCGTGCATGTGATCACAGTAACCACTTGTATACAATGGATAGCATGAAAGGAAGCCATTCACTGTTTACAACTGTCATGTGACGTGCTGTGATTGGTCACAGCAGGTCACATGGTACTGGCAACGGGGCCAGTACACAGATCTGTCTTTGGCAGTGTCCGAGGTACACAGACAGTGACAGATCTCGCCACAGCGTGGGCCTGCGGGCACATGCAAGGCGCGATCCGGGTAGGTCATATGACGCCCTCCCAAATCGACGCCCCGCCCGGCCGTCATTTTCCTAAAGGCTGGGCGTGAAGTGGTTAAAGCTTCTGTCCTTTTTTCAAGTGTATTTAAGCACTAAAACAAAAATGTAATATACTGCAGCTTACCAGTCCTCAGATGTGATAGCTGCCTTAGTTTTCATTTTTCAGGTTCAGAACATTTTCAGCAAGTACAAAAACAATGTGTTGAAGGCTGACATGTTCCAGCCTGTATGACAATCATGGCTATCCCTATAGATGCACTGTAGAAATTAGTGTAGACAGTAAGGGACAGGAAGCATTATTTGCAGGTTTACCAGTTTAAAAACAAAAACAAAAAAAAAAAGCAGCCACCACCCTTAAGGACTGGTAGACCTCATTTACACTGGCACTCCTGTATTTAGCGTTTCTAAACAGGGGAAAAATAATCTGAGAAGTACTGTATAAACAACTTTTCTACTTCCTGAATAATTTTTTCCTGTATTTAAATGCTTTCAAACATGATTAGCCACATTTACCTGCATTCAGCAATGTCTAGAGTGTTTAATGGAATCCTGAACGCACAGAATTTTATTTTCTCAAAACAAGGTAAACGGATTGTACTTAAACACAGGTAAACACACAGTATTAATGAAATCTATGAAAAATTATTACATGCATTTATATGCGTTTAGAAATGTCCTCTGAACGCATATAAGTGCAGGTTTGACAGTGTCAGTGTGAATAAGGCTGTAAGCTACAATATATCACATTTATGTTTTTAGGTTTAGATATGCTTTAGGTTAACTTTACTTTAATTGAAAGTGTTTACAGAACCACCCAAGTGACTTAAAGTGATAAAGGTTTTTGTTTTTTTTTATTTTAAATAACAAGCATGTCTGTACCTACCTGCTGTGTGAAGTGATTTTGCACACAGAAGCCCAGATCCTCCTCTTCTCCGGTCCCCCGCAGGCTCTCCTGGCTCCTCCTTTCTGTCGAGTGCCCCCACAGCAAGCAACTTGCTATGGGGGCACCCACTGCTCTGTGTTTTCATTCACACATGGAGCCATAGCTTGAATGCATGAAGGTAAAAAACCTTCAGCCTTAAGCACATTAAATCAGAGTATTTTGCAACTTACAATGAGGGGTACCTGTTGGGACTCCTGGTCCGGATTTGTGCTGGGGTTCAAATTTGCAAAAAGGAAGGTAGACTTGGCTAACTAAACAACAAATGTTGAGTTTGTAAAGTGAACCTTTCAATGATTGCTGCAAAATATGTGACCTACAAATTGTAGTTTTAGAAAGAGTGTGATCTTCTACTATCCACATTTTAATTATAAATGCAGTACAGTACAATGTTTGTTAGAAATGAAAAAAAAAAAGGATCACAGAAAGCTTTTAGTTTAAATTAAGAAAGCACGGATGCTGCAGAAAAAAAAAATGACAGGACTATAAAAAGTTATCAATAAGACATTAATGAGATGTGTTTTTGGACCACATACAAGTAATCATTATAAAGTAAAGATGTTCCACTCTGGGAACATCAAAGGACACTAATTACAGTTAGCTATATCGTTTTGCTGAAATAAACGCCAAATTTGCATTGCTTCCTAGGTTCTACTTCTGCACCTTCCTTCTTTGCTTTAAATCGTGATCAAAAACAGAATTCTAATGTTTTATGACAACGAAGAACCAATTATAACTACTAAAATCTTGCTAAAAGAAGAAATTATTAGTAACAAAGAATATATATACACCTCTAGAATGGCTTTGCAACTGTGTGCTTGTGTGTTACCACGCGTGTTACAATGACGTTTGGTGTCATCACATTCTTGTGCATTGCTTTTATTTTCAATGGTACCCAAAAACAAAAATTCTGCCTCAGTGTTGAAAGAAAAACAGTAAGAATTTTTTCTTGTTTTCATTCATTAGAAATGAATAGGTCAACGTAATATATGTTAAATCACAAGTGCAAAGATGTGAATGGGACCTTAAAAGGATGTTTCCACTTTTGCAGTCAAATTTTAGAAAACCCCACTATAAGTGTGTCATGCATTCCCATTCACACAGCATACTTTAAAAAAAATTTACATATTTTACCCTGCTTTTTTTTTTTTTAAAGCAAAATTAAACTAAAAAAACAAAAAAAAAAGTTGACAGGCAGATTTTTTTTTTTTTTTTAGCAGAACAGATCCTACTGGTCATAAGTGTCTCTCATAAGTATCTCCCTGTCAGGGTTATGTACACTGAGCCAGCGTTGCTCAGCCTACATTTACAGTATGGCTACAGTACAGTGACATCATCGTGACTTGGCCAATCAAGTGGCCAAAGAGTTTGAACCTAGAAGAAAGTGTGGCAGTAGACGGAAGGGCTTATGACAGCTGAGAGTGCCCACACCACAGAGCTGGAGGGGATCATTTGACATGCAACTTTGTCACAATGTGCTAATATGTGGTACATACTAGCATAAAGCCCTCTTTACACAGGGTTTAATTCCACTTTAAGAGAAGGTATCATGGCAGACTGCAAGCATTTCTGAAAAAGTTCTACCCCAATAGAGACGCCAAGCTTCCTCTCATTGACTTACAAAAAAAAAAACTTTAACCAGTCTTTTTGCGAGACAGTGTTCAAATCTAGTTTACAAATGATAATAAGATCTGCCAGCACAGTACAGACTGTGTTTTTTATGGCAAACACAGCTCCCCAGTCACTTCATAAACAAAGAGAGCAAAGTAGGTTTTTTGTGAAGGTCAAGTTAACCTTTGGGCAGAAAATAAAATGCACGTGTTTTTACAGGGAAAAAAAATGTGCATTTATTATTTTTTTCCCTCAGGTACAAAGCATTGCAACCATGATCAGTGGTGCAATGTCAGGCTCCTGCAGACAAGCCCTGCAGCTTTCAACCTCCACATGAGCTGTCTGAAAGCTGCAGGGATTGTGAATGAACTACAAACTCATAAGGTACCTCGAAGTTCATTGAGAACCACAAACTGTCCGTTGCAGTGGCTGACAGTTCTCTCATTCACAGATCATCTGCCCTCACAGCCACATTGTTTTCAAAATGCGACAGCATGTGCAAGAATATCCCCTGTCCACTGTCACAGAGAGAGAGGTGATCGGGGGTGCAGGAGGCAGTTCTGGAGCATGTTACATGTTATACTCAAATATGGATGTAACGTATAACATGCTCAGAAAGGTGAACTTATCCGTTAAAGTTGTTTTAAAGCCTCAAGGTATTTTACCATAATGCATTCTCTGAATTAAGGTAAAAAACCTTCTGTTTCTAGGATCCCCCCACCCCCTTATATTTACCTGAGACCTATCTCCATCCAGCAATGTGCATGAGAGCAGCAACTCTCTCCGCTCTCTTCCTCCTCGCTAGGCAGAATGGCACCCGCTAGGCCACTGGCACCCGCTGCCGTCAATCAAATCCTAGGATATGGGAGCAGAGGTGGGGCAAAGCCTCACTGTCGGTGTCTATGGACACAGCCAGTGGGGCTCAGGAGCAAGCCTGCACAAATGCCTTGAAGGGGGAGGAGCCAGGAGCACCGGCAGGGGCAAGCAAGCAAGTAGAATGTGTATGCCTTTTTTTTTTTTTTTTTATTTTAAACCCTGAACTTTTAATATCACTATAAGTGCTAGAGTTTTAGAAAAGAGCACGCAAAATGATAAGCAGCAATATTATTATTTTTTTTTAAAGAAATGCTATGTAAATGAGAGTATGTAAGAGATATAAAGTAGGTGTTATCCCAGTTTAAAACCAACAGACTCATCTTTTCAGGTGGCTTCTAAATACAATAATGCTGCACTGGCCAATCATCAGATTAATGTTCGACATGCAATCACCCAGATGCATAGCAAAGGTTGTAAGATATACAATGAGATGTAAATTTTTCAATAGTTCCACTGCTATGTGAAAAAGGTTAAGTCACCATGGCAAGGGTAATGCTTCACCCTACAATACCTTACTTTGTCTTCTAGGAGACCAAGAATTTGATAGAAAAATTCTCACACTCAGAACAATACAGAACTGTCAGCAAAATTCCTGAAGCGAAATGCCAGGAACAAAAGTTATAGATTAGCTTGTAAACCCAACAGCTTACTTTATTCCATGTGAATCACAAACTTTATTTGCACTGTATACATATAAAAAAAAAAGTAACAATGAGATCTAGCAAACAAAGTGCAACACATACTGAATACAACTATTCTGAAACAAATTCTATTTTTGCATTCTGCTTTACTTAACAAAGAAATGCATTTGGATTCCATGAAAAACATTACCTCCTCCTTGGATTCGCTGTTTTCTCGCTCCCTTGGCTCCTGCTTGACGTGAGTTACCATAGCAAAGGCTGCCCGATCGTGACTATCTGCTAGATTGATGACATTAGTGATAGATGGAAGCATGGCGCCTTGGCAGCTTGTGCCAATTGTAGTGCTCTTCTCACAGACAGCCAACAGGAGCTACATGGAAACATAGGAAGTTCACAGTGTTAACAGTATAACAGAGCTGTGAAACACAATATAACAAGGTCAAGGGGACTGGTGTTAAGGCGGGCATGGCGGAAGTTATATGGATGGCTGAAATGACCCAAACAAACAGGACTTCTAAACTAAAGACAGCGCTTTGCGTCATGGACTTTTCTCATGGAAACCATTGTTAGGCCTTTACTAAAGAAAGAAAGGAACAATGGGGTATTTTCACGCTGCTCATTACAGAAATCAACTTCATAATCTTATGTTTATATCCTATTCGTATCATACTGCTATTATGGTTTTACATTTTCAGATTTATTAATTTTCCCTTTCGCCTAGAGGCTGCCATATAAGAAACAATTCCTCTGGCACTTTCCAAGATTGAAATGTAATGTACAAATTGCAGACCTCAAATAGGAATATAAGCAACTTCAAGTAATATTAACCACTTCCTGTCCAGGGCAATTTTCAGCTTTCAGCGCTATCACACTTTGAATGACAATTGCGCGGTCATGCAATACTGTACCCATATGAATTTTTTACCATTTTTTTGAGACAGATAAAGCTTTTTTTTGGTGGTATTTATTCACCACTGGGATTTTTATTTTTTTTGCTATGTAAATGAAAATGTCCAAAAAGTTTGAAAAAAGGTGTTTTTTTTTTTTTATAAAATTTTGCAAATAAATAATACTTCGTCATATATCTTGGCCAAATTTATTCATTATTTTTTTTAGTAAAAAAAAAAAAATCCAAATTAGTTTATAACCAAAAATTATAATTTTTAAACTTTTTTTTACATTTTTATATTATTTTTTTTTACATACTATCACCCTAGCAGTACAGTGTCACCATGGCATGACACTGTACTACTTGTGGGGGGTGATGAAGATTTTTTTTTTTTTTTTTTAAACGGATTGCTTTTACACCCATATAGGATGTAAAAGCAATCATTTCTCTCTCTCTGTCTGCATTCTTGCAGTCATTGAGAAGTACTGAGTGAGCTGTGATTGGTCACAGCTTGTCACATGGTACAAGGCTGTTGTGCATAACCTTGTACCATGTGACCTCTGTGATCATTCACAGATTTCACACGTAGTAAGCAATGATGTCACAAGTGACATCTTGCTTACTACTTTGCATGTGATCACTTGATCTGGACCTCGTACAGAGGTCCCGTCCGACGATCGGTGTTTCACTGTGTCCGGAGGACACAGCGGGCACCAGATCGCAGTGCTGCGCGCTTCCAGGGAGCGCGCACAGCTAGAAAAGGCGGGTGCAGTTTATGAACGGCAACCCGCCCCTGGACTGCCACCGCCCTGCCGTTTATAAACAGCAGGCGGACGGCAAGTGGTTAAAGGCAATAAAAAAAAAAAAAAAAAAAAACAAAACAAATATGTCAGACTTACCTGCTCTGTTTAATGGTTTTCCACAGAACAGCCCCAATCTTCCACTTCTCCGGTCCCCTGCCAGCACTCCTGGCCCTTCCCTCCTGCCAAGTGCCCCCAGAGCAGGTAGCTTGCTATGTGGGCACCCAATCAGGCTTGCTCCATTCACATACAGCCGTGGCTCGGCCCCCGCTCCCTCTCTCTCCTCATTAGCTTACTGGCTAAGATTGACCGCCAATAACTCCCACTGCTGTCTCGGCCATTGAGGAGAGAGAGTCCTCGGAGAGCTGAGGCTCTCGTGCACACTGCTGGATCATAATGGAACTCAGGTAAGTCTTGGGGGCGGCAGGAGGAGCTGCTGCCCACAGAAGGTTTTTTAACTTTCATGCATAGAATACATGAAGGCAAGAAACCTTGAGCTTTTACAATCGCGTTCAACTCAACGTTGCCATAATATGCCACTCAACTTGATTGGAAGTAAACAAAAAAAAACAAAAACATTAAAAGCCAACTGCCACTTTTTAACCATGTTTCATGTTATATACCATTATTTAGGGCATAACATTAAACACTTTCTCAGTCTGCAGCCCTCCATCCCCAAAACTGGTTCCCACTTATCGTGGGGTTCTTCTCCCATAGGTACCTGACATTTTTTTTCTCATGTACCGCTGTGCATAATTCTGCCTGCACAGCCACCTCATTCATTCAGAGAGATCCGTGAATGTTTTATTAAGTGCTAGTTAACACTTACAATATAATAACAAGTACTTATCTGTCACAATCCAAAAAGGATTTTAGCAAAATGACCATAACCAAGTTCTGGATGAATTAACACACCTGAGGCAATGGTATACAAAACCACCACTATGGCATGCAGATCAAATGGATATGTTCTAGGGCAGTGGTGGCGAACCTATGGCACACGTGCCACAGCGGGCACGCAGATCCCTCTCTGTCGATATGCTAGCCAAGTTGCCCCAGCAGCTGAGCATCTGATAACGGCGCACATAGAGGCCAATGCACAGGCTCGGAAAGGAATAGGGCCTCTCTGGGACTGCGCATGACTGCAGGGAAGGGCAATCGGTTACCCAGCTAGAGAACTGCAGAGAGAGGAGAAAGAGGGGAGCAGAGAGAGGAGAAAGAGGGGAGGAGAAGAGAGGGAGCAGAGAGCGGAGAGAGACAGAGCTTGGACCAGAGGGTAAAATAATAGTCAGGGACTTATTTCACTGCGTATGTAGGGATAGAGCACCCCACTGAAATGAAAAGTCTGCCTATACGCAGGACGCAGATGTGTGAACCTGGCCCTATTGGCAACACATATTGGTCCGGCTTGACATTCAGGTTTAATTGCATTGTTGGCACTTTGCGATAAATAAGTGGGTTTTGGGTTGCAGTTTGGGCACTCGATCTCTAAAAGATTCGCCACCACTGTTCTAGGGAAAAACAACCTTCATTAAATTTTTGAGGCTGTGATTTTATTTGGCATTTTATCACAGGGGCTTTACCTATTTCACAAAGCAAAAGCTCTCTGGCGTTCTGTCTTTCAAGGTCAGTGACTCCGTGAGAAGCAACTGCTGAGATGAAATCTCAAGACCTGATTCTTAAAACGTCTGTAGCACATATGGCATGCTAAAATGATCCTTTTCAAGTAATATGGTCATATTTCCTGATTCATCAATGAGTAAAAATTCTAAGGTAGCTCATAGATGGTTGAACAAAAAAAAGGGCTTTATTCCCCCTTCCAAACAATCAAAGTGGATGGGGGAATCCTCCCCACTGAGCTATTATATTCTGACTGTGAGAGACTTCCCCAGCATCAAAATACACTGTTCAGCATACAGGCTATACCATGCAGCACTGACTGAGAGGAAAAATATGACAGGATAGTTGTAGAGAAGTCTGTAGATCGACTTCTGTACAACCTTCCTGCTGAACCGGATGAATTTCAATCCATGTATGGCTGGCTTAAAGTGGTTGTAAACCCTTACATATACAGAGTGAAGTGCCTAGCCTCAGATAATATACAGAGATAAAATAAATTCTACATAAGTTGTACCTGTTTATCTGCCGTCTTCTCTCCTCTACAGCCAAAGTGCTGAATTTATAAAGCTTATCTGAGCTTTTAGAAAGCAGGGGGCAGGGAGCTGAAGTTACACTCTACAGATCATATCTCAGGGAGGAAACCTCCAAGAGCCGATTAGAAGGAAGGAACACCCCCCTTCACACAGCGTACAAGAACAAAGCTGTGTGATCGACAGCGAGATCCCCCCCCTCCCCTTTTTTAACTTGGTGTCAGGAAATGTGTCAAAAGTGACTCATGCTGAGATAAATAACACTTAGTGCTCTGGAATAAGACAAGTACATACTATAGAAGGATATGCTTTGTTCATATTTCATGAGATTTACAATCACTTAAAGAGACATAAATAAGCATTACTTTCAATCAGTCAGACCAGACTGGTAAATGTGCATTGAGAGAAGGGAAAGATACAAACCTTGCACAGCACCTACTGTGTAGCGCTTACAACCTGCATAATTTTTTACAATTAATAAAACTGTTCACTTCCAAATCTAATTACAAACAATTAACAGACGATGCAATTATTTACAGTAAATTGTTACCTCAATACACTGCTTAATCCAGAAATGGTTTCCCATAGCTTCCCAGTTCTGTGAACACGTGATGTACAGAAGCCTGTCATATACCCGGCGTTTCATCGAGCTATCAAAGGCCTCGAAGAATTTGGCCCTAATGTGGGGCTGTGCACAGCGCAGTCCAGAAAGAAAAGCGGGTTCCAGTTTGGCAGTAAGCTCGCTCCCAGAAAGAGCCTCATCTCTGTAATGAGGAAACCAAATCAATTTCTGTTCTAAAATCTCATACCAAGACCAACTGCAATATATTAATGTTATTTTAGATACAGGACTCGACTTATAAAGTGATTACTGAACCAGCATCTTTCTTTGCGTTACTTAAATTGGAATACCAGCCAATACTTACTTTATAGTTTTTAACTGTGGCTCGAGTGAGGGAGAGTTAGAAGCCCTATCGGTTTTTGTTGTTTCTGCCTGTGTCCTTATTGGGAAGATGAAAGATGTATCCATCTCGCATACAGACCTTTCACCTCCTAAGTTCTTTGCTGCATGGGCCATGGCGGTGGTGCTAGAGACTTTGCGGGAAGGAAGGCCAACACCCCGTGTAAGATATTTATCCTTTATGGCAAACAACAATGAAGGCATGCCTTGAAAAATAGACCTGTGAGCCTTCAAAACCAAGATATATATCAATATATATCTATATATCTATCTATCTATATCTATATATATCTATATATATATCTATATATATCTATATATATCTATATATATATATATATCTATATATATATATATATATATATATATATATATATCTATATATATATCTATATATATATATATATATATATATATATACACATATATACACACAGTCAGGTCCATAAATATTGGGACATCGACACAATTCTAACATTTGTGGCTCTATACACCACCACAATGGATTTGAAATAAAATGAACAAGATGTGCTTTAACTGCAGACTGTCAGCTTTAATTTGAGGGTATTTACATCCAAATCAGGTGAACGGTGTAGGAATTAGAACAGTTTGCGTATGTGCCTCCCACTTGTTAAGGGACCAAAAGTAATGGGACAGAATAATAATCATAAATCAAACTTTCACTGTTTAATACTTGGTTGCAAATCCTTTGCAGTCAATTTCAGCCTGAAGTCTGGAACGCATAGACATCACCAGACGCTGGGTTTCATCCCTGGTGATGCTCTGCCAGGCCTCTACTGTAACTGTCTTCAGTTCCTGCTTGTTCTTGGGGCATTTTCCCTTCAGTTTTGTCTTCAGCAAGTGAAATGCATGCTCAATCGGATTCAAGTCAGGTGATTGACCTGGCCATTGCATAACATTCCACTTCTTTCCCTTAAAAAACTCTTTAGTTGCTTTTGCAGTATGCTTTGGGTCATTGTCCATCTGCACTGTGAAGCAGCATCCAATGAGTTCTGAAGCATTTGGCTGAATATGAGCAGATAATATTGCCCGAAACACTTCAGAATTCATCCTGCTGCTTTTGTCAGCAGTCACATCATCAATAAATACAAGAGAAGCAGTTCCATTGGCAGCCATACATGCCCACGCCATGACACTACCACCACCATGCTTCACTGATGAGGTGGTATTCTTAGGATCATGAGCAGTTCCTTTCCTTCTCCACACTCTTCTCTTCCCATCACTCTGGTACAAGTTGATCTTGGTCTCATCTGTCCATAGGATGTTGTTCCAGAACTGTGAAGGCTTTTTTAGATGTCGTTTGGCAAACTCTAATCTGGCCTTCCTGTTTTTGAGGCTCTCCAATGGTTTACATCTTGTGGTGAACCCTCTGTATTCACTCTGGTGAAGTCTTCTCTTGATTGTTGACTTTGACACACATACACTTACCTCCTGGAGAGTGTTCTTGATCTGGCCAACTGTTTTGAAGGGTGTTTTCTTCACCAGGGAAAGAATTCTTCGGTCATCCACCACAGTTGTTTTCCGTGGTCTTCCGGGTCTTTTGGTGTTGCTGAGCTCACCGCTGCATTCCTTCTTTTTAAGAATGTTCCAAACAGTTGTTTTGGCCACGCCTAATGTTTTTACCATCTCTCTGATGAGTTTGTTTTGTTTTTTCAGCCTAATGATGGCTTGCTTCACTGATAGTGACAGCTCTTTGGATCTCATCTTGAGAGTTGACAGCAACAGATTCCAAATGCAAATAGCACACTTGAAATGAACTCTGGACCTTTTATCTGCTCATTGTAATTGGGATAATGAGGGAATAACACACACCTGGCCATGGAACAGCTGAGAAGCCAATTGTCCCATTACTTTTGGTCCCTTAACAAGTGGGAGGCACATATGCAAACTGCTGTAATTCCTACACCGTTCACCTGATTTGGATGTAAATACCCTGAAATTAAAGCGGACAGTCTGCAGTTAAAGCACATCTTGTTTGTTTCATTTCAAATACTTTGTGGTGGTGTATAGAGCCAAACATTTTAGAATTGTGTCGATGTCCCAATATTTATGGACCTGACTGTATATATATATATATATATATATATATATATATATATATATATATCACATCGGTTGCTTTTCTTTACTCTCGCTGGGGAGATTTCTCAACACTACTTGTTCTGTCACTGGAGCAGGATGGGAAAGGAAATCTCTGAAATGATGCAATTTCTTTCCATTCAGTGAGCAAGGATCAGAACCCCTGTCACATTTTATTATCTGTGCTCTGTTGGGGAGATTTCACCTAATTTCCTGTAGCCATCATAGCAGTAAATAAGGGTACTTAGAAATAAAAATACATGACCAGGTTCTATTCCTTCTCCACTCAATACAATCTTAAAGAAAATGTAAACCAAACATTTCAAATTTTGTGCCATGTACTTGTATGAAAATGTAGCCTGTTCTCTATGTATTCCTTCATTTGTGTTCCTGCCAGACCCTCTGCTTTTCTATTAAAAAATGATCACACTACGCAGTAGAGCACAGCATGGTCAGTTTTCGAGCTGTGCTGGGAACTCTGCCTGCTCTCCTGCAATGATCAGACTTGTGCTGACACCCCCTCCCTGCACGGCCTTTCATGGAGAAGATCAGCTCAGTGTTCTGCTGTTTCTCCTCCCCTAGCCTATAAACAGCTGGCTGAGAACAGAGGAAGTGTGTTCACTTATAAAAAAGGGGATCATGTATTTATAATGTTTTTTAAATCTACACAAATGTTTTACTTTTCATTTCTATTTTAATCTGAATGCGTTGTTTTACAAAACGAGGGTTCATATATAATTTAAAAATAGGATATTGAGTCAAGCAGAAGTTGGCCCTCCAGCTTTTATCTATGCTGTAATTGAATTACTCTAGGTGCTATTTTAGGACTAGATGTATCCATTGAAAACAATGGAAGGTTGTGGTAATCACTTCACTTGCAACATATTGAACACCATGTGCAGCTAATCGTGTAATTGTCAACAAGAGGTTAAATCAATTTAGTATCAGATTAAATAGGCTGCTGAGCTCTGTCGGCTGAATCATGTGGATAGAGGTCAGGAGATGGCCTGCACTTACTGAATGACACAACTTAGCTGATAGGAAAGAAACCTAATTTCAGAGGCGATTATTAATGAAGTAAGCTCTGATCACATGTACTGAACACTTTACTGCAGATAGTTGCCAGCCTACAGTTATGGAATTCCAAAAAAATTAAAATGTAAAATACTACAAAATTAGAATTATCCATTGTCCAGCACCCTAGGTGCAGCCCCCAAAGTCAAATTTTCTTATTCCCAGCAGCTGGAAAAATCTTATCCCCCTGGGTAAGTATGGATCCCCTCAAAAAAGTCACATGACGAAACATGTCATGGAGGTTGACAAATAGGCAAGAACTGGAAGTTAGGGTTCCGCCATCTTTGTTTTCTCACCATGCTGTTTTTATCTTTTGGACTTTTGTAAGCGCATCTTTTTATTAAACAGTGGTTCTTAACTCTACTATACTATGAGCTGTGCTTACCGCCTACTATTCTCTTGATAATCTGAGGGACCCTGAAAATGTTAGGCATGAGTTTGGAACACAAGTGAGCAAGTGGTGGCCCTATATATTGAGCCTGTCTGGACCCTATGAGAACCATGGGCACCGATTCTGGTGAGAATCCACCTGCATGGGGTTCCAGCATGGTGGTGGTTGTGGAGTGGATTTGCACAAGCACATGTACATGCACAAGCACTGTGTTTAGAACTAATGTAAGCATATGCTTTTTATATTCCACTGGCTAATATGATCTGCTACACAATGGATGTGGTATTTTTGGTTTCTGCACGAGATGTTGAGAACACCATAAGAACAGTGGAATATCTGGGGATTTTCAGTAAGGAGGGAGACATCTGGGAGGCAAGAAAGATATTTACATCGAGCCTGATCTGACCCATTGATGCGTAAGGGTCAGGATATCTGATGAGAGTTTAATCACACTGGTGGCACAGAAACTAAGGCAAGATATGCAAATTTGAACTGCACAGAGTCACATGACATGTGAATGAAAATACTTTTCTGCGGAGCCCGTTCACATACATGCGGGCCAGCCACAGTGCAATTTTAAAAAGGGTCCTGTGTGATTTTTAGTTTAGTGCGGATGCAATTTCCAGCCTGATACACTTTAACAATTTGCATTTGAATCACACCTGCACCGCATAAACAAAATTGCGCCACATTCCGCACTACAGATCTGTGAACCCAGGCTCAGACTTAAAGAAGGATTCACATGTTGTCAGGACTATAATGTGTTTCGATAGTCTTACTGTGTAAATATGAACAATTTGATTATACTGAGGAAAGGGGTTATAGCATATTTTAGCTTTAAGAATAGAATAGTTTCTGATTCATTCTTTGAAATACTACAAAGCCTGATATATCTGATTATCTGTGGACATTCTAAAAAGGTATTTACTACGCCATATCACTCCATCTCATAAATTGCATTATTTATTTTATACGTGTTCGCTAAATTATCTCATGATTATCAAATGTTCAATTCACAAATAGTTCTTGCATGGGAAGTGATCTCTTATTCTGTATAATATAGACATTCAATGTATTCGTCATGAAATGTGTTTTTATTGCCATTTCACATTTTACATAACCTGACTGTTAACGCCACCTAGAGAGAGCAGAATTTTCACAGGCTGAACCTGTACAATTATGTTTGAGGACTGACTTTTACACATGGAATACCGAGGGAAAATAAATAAGATGCTAAAGGGTGTGTGAAATTAAATTGATATGTACATTAAACCCTTAAGGACCATTCAGACACCACATTTTTGTATGTTAAGGCATGCTGCGCTAGGGTAGTCCACCTATTTTTGGTGAGATGAGAAAAAAACCCTGCGCTTTATTTTCACTGCACCATACCATAGCATATAGATGGACCGAACTGTTGTGATCTAAAACACAAATGCATTGAACTGCCCTATCAATGTATGTTGTAAGCTCGAAAGAGTAGGGCCCTCTTACCCCTCGTACGTTGTTTGTTATTGTTGTACTGTGCCATGTATTGTCCCCCCCTATTGTACAGCACTGAGCAAACCCTTTGGCGCTATATAAACTCGATGTAATAATAATAATAATAATGTTGGGCTGCCATTCATAATAAATGGCATTGCCACACTCCACACATCATTCATTACTGCCCACTGTGCTGAGATGCAACACACAAGTTTGAATGATGTTCTAGTGAATTTAAAAACAAAATACATTTGAATGCATTCTGCAATTGTGATTTAAGGTTAATAATTTTATGTACATACACTATACTATAAAATATTCACTACTCCTCTATGTTTACATGCTAGAAGACAAGGACACATAAAATAGAATGCACAGGTTAGATTTTTTTTCCATAAATACCTGTAAACATAATTAACAAGTTCCAAAAACTGTGCATTTAACTCTAGATCTTCTGGAAAACGTTTCTCTATATAGGTCATCATCTTCACCAGCAATATAGACTTCTCTCGGAGTGTAGGTGTCTGCATGAATAAAGGACGTAGTGATTACCAATGCATCTGGAACAATTAGCCACAAACAAAACATTTCTGAACATTTTGATTAGAGTTGGTAAAAGTTAGGTTTTTAATACTGTCTACAATATAGACAGATTCAACAGAATAGGAGGTGCAGTGAAATCTCTCAAAAGTGACTCCTGTTCTACTGACGAGTAAAACTGAGATTTCCCCTCTCTTTGAAAAGGTCTCCTCATACTTACTGCTGTGTCTCTGCAACAGGATATGGGGGAAATCTCACCAAAGGGGAGACACAGAAAAAAAAACCCAAAACACTCGCAAGCTGTCCCACTATCTTCACACACAAAAAAACCCTGTAGCAGGAGTGAAAATTTTGAAAACAGATCGGATTGTTTTTTGGACTCTAATCCAAGGAATAAGGGTGCAGAGAGAGCTCTTCCACGCATAATTCTCACAAATAGCAGCATTTCTTTACTTATTGTTCGACTTGTTGTCTCCAATTCCCCATCTTCCTCTCCATCTATTTCAAATCTCTTACAATTTCTTTCCTCTTCGGTCTTCAATCTATCTAAAAAAATAATATCAACTAATCTCCACATACTCATTGATTATTCAACCGGCATCTCAACCTCCACCAAAGTGTCTGGAGTTCTTGGTACTCAAAACTCTTGAATACTAAAACAGACTGCTTTTTGGACCACTACAAACAAAATAGATTTGTTATCAACCATCGCAATTAACTACTTGCCGAATGATGGCTACAACGCAGTCTTCCAGTTCTGGAAGCGCATCTATTGACGTCCTCCCAGGACTGCGCACCTCCCACTCTCTGCGATCACAAATCACAGTAAAGGGCCAATCACAACAGGCCTTTACCACATGATCAGCTGTGTCCAATCAAATAAATCAAATGATGTAAACACACTTTCCAGTTATTGGCAGTACTTTTCTCACGTTGTCACAACGTGAGTAAAGTACTGCAGACAACCGGCAAGTGTGAAAGGGGACATCTACACTGATAATCAGGGCACTTATTATCAGTGTATCCACAACAGTGCCCATCAGTGCCACCTATCAATGCCAGTCAGTGTCCACCAGTGCTGCTAATCAGTGCAGCCTCATTAGTGCACATCAGTGAAGGAGAAAAATTACCAAAATTTTATAATAGAAACTAAGAAAAACATTTTTTTTTTTTTCAACATTTTTGCTTTTTTTTTTTTCATTTAACAACAAATAAAACACCCAGTTGTGATGAAATACCACCAAAATAAAGCTTTATTTGTGTGAAAAAAATAATGAAAAGTTATGGTGGATACAGTGTTGCATGACCACGAAAAAGTCATTCAAAGTGCGATTGACAATTGACTTGGGCAGGAAGGGGGTAAAAGTGCCCGGTAGGCAAGTGGTTAAATAAAGACCATTTCCATGTAGCCATAAAAAGGCCAGTACATTTATTATGAATCTAAAGTGTACTTCAGTAAGAGACTTCTCCTGTTTGTGTCAAATGGTGACTCTTTGGTGGGAAAAAAAAAAAAAAAAAAAAAAACTAGTCAGCAAAATAACCACTTCAAGATCTACTTTTGGATTAAGTTGGAATATAATCTGGATTTATTTGCTGTCCATATCAGGAAGAATATTGTGTCTTGATGGTGGCATTAATTTAATTATTTTTTTTTTATATCCGCCTCTTTGTAGCATCATACTAAAGGCTTACCTGATTTGCTGCCATAGGTGTATTATTTTTTAGCCATTCTTCCACTATCTTCACTACGGCTCGAGGATTTTAGCATCAGGAGACTTCTCAATAAGAGAAGTCAGAATGTTCTGAATAAAGTTTTTCCTCATCTCCATGCTCATTACTGCCAAGCGTGTTTTCACCAAGTCCAAACTCAGCATGACCAGCTCACTAGTGCCTGCTGCAGAATAAAGGACAGGAGAGAAGGAGTGAGCAACTCAAGGTGAATAATGAAGAGTAAAGTCTCTTCTGGCTAACAAAGGTAGAGCACACAAAATGTAACTGCTCTGAGGCAAGACTGCAATAGCTGTATAGAACTTTAATACTCTGAGCCCCTAAACTAGAAAAGGCATGCAGATAATAGGATTTCTATAATTACCGTAACATTCATTTCTTGGAGTCTATTGAGGGACACAGTAATTTAAAGACTGTTACACTGCCGCCTACAGGAGGACTGGACACTGGCAAACAAAATTGTGGGTCAACCCACTACAACCCCTCTTACTCCAAACATGCCTTAGTTTTGAAATAAAGTAGTACCATTAGCATGATCAAAAACACAGAGACCTGTGTCCCTCAATGATCTCCAATAGATTTTACAGCAAGTACAAACATTTTCTTTCTTGTCCATTGAGGGACATAGGAATTCAAAGTCTGATGGAACCCCAAAAGAAGCCCTACTGACACATGGGCAACAGCAACAAAACACTAACAGGCTCACAAAAAAAACAGAAGAACTCAGGACTGCTTGTAGTTTACAGGCAAATGAAGGACCTTATGCCTAAAGTGAGAGGTGTGAACATCCACCTGTTAAAATTTGCAAACATATGAACTGAAAACCAGGTAGCAGCACTGAAAACCCAGGAAACAGTTGCATGATGCCAAAAAGGACAAGAAGCATTCACAGATCTAGGGGAGTGTGCCTTGATAGGAAAGTGTGGAAACTGATCCTTAAAGTGGGTCTAAAGTCTTTAGGTTTTTTTTTTTTTTTCAAACTGAATGCATTCTGTGCATTAAGGTAAAAATTCTTCTGTGTCCAGGATTCCTTCCCCCTCCCCAGTACCCCCTTATACTTACCAGAGACCAATCTCAATTCAATACTGTGCACGACAACTGCTGCTCTCTTCCTCCTCATAGGGCAGATTGATAGCAGCGGGAACCACTAGCTCCCGTTGACGTCAATGAAATCCTATGACGAGAGAGCGGGGGCGGAGCAAAGTCCTGCTGTATGCGTCTAGGGACGTAAGCAGCGAACCCACACAAGTACCCCCCCTAGCAAGCCACTTTCTTTTGGAGAGTTGGGGGATACTCAGAAGACAGAAGGAGCCCAGAGCACTGGTGGGAGATGCCAGAAGAGGAGGATCGGGGCTGCTCTGTGCCAAACCATTGCAGAGTTACTAAGCATAACATGTTTAGTTTTTTTTTTTTGTTTTTTAAAAAATAGCAAAGGTTTAGAATTACTTGGAAACCATAAGCTTGAATGACTGTTCGCCTAAGACACAGAGAAATGGTGGAACAAGAAGCTAGTTTCACTTTATGGGGATCATTAGGAAATACTAAGAGTGAGGTAGTCTTTCTAATAGGATCAGTGGCTGCAAGGAAAACTCACACAGCATGATCTACGTCCAAGAAATGGAAGCAACATCTCCTACTGATAAACTGGAACTGTCTTTGATATCATGCAGAGCCCAGGATCCCAGAAATGCAGATCTAATAAGGAAATAGTTGGATAACCAGGATTGAGGGGAGACCAGAGCGAACAGCACAGGAGTTTGTTACCTCCTCCTCATCAGAGTGCCCTGTTCTGGGGTCCAAGGGTGCTCCACAGGATAACTAAAAGCATATGCAGGCTATGGTGTGCATGGTTTGTGCCAACGACCATATGCAAGTGCCTGTTAGATATATTTAACTGACCACAGATTCAGTTCAAAGCAGAAAGTGCTGGTAGCAACCACCAAGATAAGACTCCAAGCAAGATCGAGAAACTGAACCTATGCTACAGAACAGTAATAGAAAAAAAATATACATGGGGCCTGCGGAAAAAAAATTAATGTTCAACAGATAATTATGGGTAGCTGTGACTGTGCAGGTTATACCATAGTGAACACTTATGAATTGTCTGCACCATATGTAATGCCTCCTTCCAGTACAAAAGAGAAGGAATATGGCCCCACCTACTGGTATGTTTGGAGAATGACATTATATTGTATGTATAGAGAATGACATTGACATGAATGAATGACTGCTATGTTTGGAGAATGACACTGACATTGTATGTATCCCAAAAACATACAACTGCTCACTGCAGATTCTTTGCAGTCCTCACTTCTGTGCATATTGTTAGGGCTTTTCTCTCCATTCACTTGAATATTTACCAAGCGAAACATTCCTGTTCATGGAACACTCAGGCATCACAGGTGTCAGAAGACTGATGGAGCAAGCTTCTACAACCAACCGCCCCTACATCTCTGGGCACCCGTATACATTTGTGGTAACTGTCTGACTACCCCTTAGACCAGGGGTGGGCAAACTTTTTGACTTGAGGGCCGCAATGGGTTCATATATTGGACCCGGGGGCCGGACCAAGAGTAGATGAATGATGTGTATGTGTCATCCATAGTAAGTATAGTAATATTCCCCCATAGTAAGCATAGTAATTAATCCCCCATATAGTAATTCATCCCCCATAGTAATTCATCCCCCATATAGTAATTCATCCCCCATAGTAATTCATCCCCCATATAGTAATTCATCCCCCATAGTAATTCATCCCCCATATAGTAATTCATCCCCCATAGAGTAATTCATCCCCCATAGAGTAATTCATCCCCCATATAGTAATTCATCCCCCCTATAGTAATTCATTCCCCATATTAATTCATCCCTCATATAGTATTTCATCCCTCACAGTACTATTCCCCCCAAGTAGTAAGCCAAGTCCCCCCTGTGTCAATTCACTTACCTTTGCTCTGCGAGTTCCTCTCGCTGTGTTCCCGCGCCGTTCCGGTCTTCAGGGCGGACTGTGAGAGGAGCCTAGCTCCCCTCACGTTCCTCACGCTGCCCCACCTACACACATTCTGACAGCCGATGTTTGCCACGCTCCGCGTGCCGGATTAAAAGGTCCGCCGGGCCGTAGTTTGCCCATTGCTGCCTTAGACCTATGCTAATCAAATGTTATGGAGTGAATTTAATCCAAATGACTATGACTAGGTTAAACACATGGGAGGCAAACGTGTTCACACAGTCTTAGTGCTTCTGCAGACAAAAACAGCATGTCTTCAGGTATATTGAGCTTGTAAGAGAGATCAGTTTGAGATAGTTGTTAGATTCTTGTGTTTTCTTTTAAAGGTGCTTCTAAACTGTGACTTTTAATAAAATAACCACAGACGTGATGACGTTGCCTGATCTTACCATTTTTAGTTGAATCAAATGACACTCATCTCTATGGGTGAATTTTGCCACAATCAGCCACTTTTCAGGGAACAGATAGACAGGTTAGAAAATGTCCTGAACAGCAAAGATCCCTCGGTGAACTTGCACCATCAGCACCCTCTCTTCGCCTTCCCCATCCCCTTTTTATAAATTGTTATCATTATCAGACCTGAATGCATAAATAATAAAACACTGCACAGTACTATTATGGAGGGAGCTGAGATTACAATCTCAGTTCTCCTCATTAACAGTAATATGGAATCTTAGCCCCTTTTGCAATTTTATTGCATCATTTTACAATGCAAGGTACGGTTTACTCTTTTTATTTTCTATATCACAAAAGTGATGCTTTATTCATTTCTGTACATTGGATGTATGGAAACTTGAGACAGGAAAAATGCATGCATGCATGCATGCTGCACTCAGTTCTGCACCTCTCCGCTCAACTGTGATGTGAATGGAGCACATAGAAATCAGTTACTGTGTGGCCTTGCAGAAACCTGAATTTTTCAAGTGAGTGTTGACAAGCCCTTAAAGCAGTTTTGAAGTCCTATTTTTTTTAAAATAACAAACAGGTTTATACTACTACCTAAACATTTTCTACCTTAAAGTGGCTGCAAAGGCTTAAGGTTTTTTACCTTCAGTAAAAAACTTTCTGTGTGCAGCAGCCCCCTAATACTTAACCGCTTCCCTGCCACCGTATAGCAGATATACAGCTAAGCGGCGGCACGGGTGCGCAAAATCACGTAATATATATATATATATATACGTAATTTTGCATTTCTCGGTAGGGGGCGCACGTGTGCCGTGCATGAGCCCTACCCACGCCACCATTCGCGGCCGAGGATGTCAATCACCAGGTCCCGGCCAGTGATTACCGTCAATCACCAACGGGGAGGAAGACTGTTTTGTTTACAAACAGTCTTCCTCCCTGTCAGCTCAGGCACACTGCTTGGGATGGCTGCGTACAGCACAGCCATCTCGATCAGTGTGCTTACAGTGAAGCACACACCCCCGCCCCCTAGAAAAATACTCCCTGCACATAGTTAACCCTTTGATTTCCCCTCACACTTCCTGCCCAGTGCCATTAGTACAGTGTCGGTGATGTTTTTTTAGCACTGATCACTATATTTCTGTCACTGGGGATGTCAGTGACACCAAGTTAGTTCCCCCCCAGTGTCAGAATGTCAGCCACAGTCCACAGTCCAGTCCAGTAGCAAGCTGCTTGCTCTGGGGGCACTCAGCAGCAGGGAGGGGACAGGAGCACTGGCAGATAACCCAAGAAGAGGAGGATCGGGGCTGCTCTGTGCAAAACCACTGCACAGAGCAGGTTATATACTATGTTTGTTTTCTTTGTTTTTTTTAATTACCTTTAATGTCACTTTAAGGCAGGGAATGCATTGGTAAAAAAATGTTTAGGCTTTAGAACCACTTTAAAACAAGAAGGAAAAAAAAACCACTCAAAAGCATGGAAATAAAATGTTAGAGGTTATGGTAACATTAAAAAATACCTGGGTTGGTTTCAGCAGTTCCAGGAGTAGTCTGTGGGTTCAAATGTTCCCTCACCATCTTCTGCAGAGAGCGCATGAAAACGGATATGAGCCGGTCTATATAGCTGGGGTTGTTGCTGCAGGCCCCCGACTTCAATATCATAAGTGTACCTATTCAATACAAAACACCATATATTAGCTGTAATTCATAGTCTGCAGAAGCACAGATGGCATTTTACATATGAAGCACAGCTTCTAGCAAAAAAACCTAATCCCTCAAATAATACCACCACCTGGTACTAGACTGTGTGCCCTTCAAGGTATACACAATGGATCAAAATGTTCTTTTATTATTCTGCTGCTTTAGTCCAGTCTAGCAGTAAAAAGGTTAGACTTTGTCTCATTTCTGCATAACACAGTTGTGTTCAATTATATGTCCCTGCAAAGGTTAAAGGCTGAGCTACATGTCTGAAAATATCTGATAGAGCCACCTCTATTGCCAGAAGCCACCATATCATCAGATTTATGCTTTAACTTTCATTAGCAGAAGATACATTTTTGTGAAATAACTTTGTACTTTTTAACACATGAGCACTGCAACACAACCAAAACCTGCTGTACACAGTTCAAACTGCATCAAATTCCTGCTAAATCAGCTGAAATCTGAGCCATGGGTGGCTTGGCCTGCACCACCCAGTTCAACATATTTTTCAACTGACTTTTGTCGAAGTGGCCGGTTGGATAATTGTCAGCTGAAGAGTGATTACACCCAATCAAATAAAGTCACTGTTCAGGTATGCTGACAGCCAAAGGTGCTGACTAGCAGAACAATCAGGAAAGAGTCTTTCATCCTGCTTATGGTCATAGAAATCTATAGGTGTATGGTAAGCCTAACTGGCTCCTCGTGCTGACTTTCCCTCTCCCAGTCAGAGCTCTTTTGTATAGGACTTACAAGAAGCTTATACAAAGTCAAATTTGAGTACTTACACTGATCACTAGATTACAATGACTAATAAATACAAAGTTGCAATAATTTGCGTCTTTTATATATTTTTATTTTATGGATCCGCTATCCCCCAAGGAAGCTTTTGAGCAAAAAACACATTGGAATGAAGTCTTAGGCAATGACGTCACCCCTCACAGCCGTGACCACGGGTGGCATGCATGCTTTCTGTCTTGATGTCTGATTAGTTTTTCCATACTGTAGGTGCACTATCTCTCAATAAACTAAGCTTTACTAGGTAATTCAATACAGAGTATTTAATATTTTATACATATCCGAATCTTGACGCTGGCTGTTGCGACTTAGCAAGCGGCGAGTAGTTGATGCATAGAGCCATCCAGTAGCCAGAGTAAGGAGCATCAACCATGGAAGCTTTTGTCTGGTCTGGGTGCAGGTTGCCGATAAGACAGTATTAAGCGTGTATGGCCTATATAAGTGAGGCCTTTGACTCTGGTAAGCAATTTGTGTGCTCACTTGGTGGTAAAGGTGCACTGAGATTGGTGCAAGAGGCTGCGGTGGAATCACTAACTACTTGCCAACCACAGATAGCCGAATGACGGCTACACTGCGGCCGGCTAGTTCTGGGAGGGCGTCATATGACGTCCTCCCAGAACGCGCTCTCCTGCGCGCCCTCGGGGGCGCGCACCCGGCGATATCCGTGATCTCTGTGTCCTACGGACACAACTGATCACATGATGTGGTAAAAGGTCAATCACAGCGGCCTTTTACCACGTGATCAGCCATGTCCAATGACACGCTGATCACCGGGAAATGCAATTGCCGGTTCTCGGCTGCACTTTCCTCACGCTGTCAGATCGTGAGGAAAGTACTGCTGAGAACCGGCAGTTGTCAGAGCAAGGATCGGCACCGATCCTCAGGGCACTGATGATTAGTGCCCTGATGATCGGTGCCCAGCAGCACCACCCACCAGTTCCACCCATCTGTGCCGCCCACTAGCTCCGCCCACCTGTGCCCAGCAGTGCACCCACCTGTGCCCAGAAGTGCCCACCAGTGCCACCTACATGTGCCCAGAAGTGCCACCTACCTTTGCCCAGCAGTGCCACCCACCAGTGCCAATCAATGCAGCCCAGCAGTACTGCCAGTCAGTGCCACCAGTCAGTGCCTAGTGGTTGTGCCAGTCAGTGCCCAGCAGTTGCACCAGCCAATGCCTAGAAGGGCCGCCAGTCAGTGCCCAGCAGTGATGCCAGTCAGTGCCACCTATCAGTGCTGTCTATCATACCCATCATCAGTGCCGCCTATCCGTGACACCTCATCAGTGCCGCCTATCCGTGACACCTCATTAGTGCTGCCTATCAGTGTCCTTCAGTGGTGCCTCATCAACGCACATCAGTGAAGGAGAAAAATTACCTGTTTGAAAAACTTTATAATAGAAACAAAGAAACTTTTTTTTTCACACTTTTTGTTTATAGCGCAAAAAGTAAAGTGCCCAGCGGCGATTAAATACCACCAAAAGAAAGCTCTATTTGTGAGAAAAAAATGATAAAAATGTCATATGGGTACAATCTTGCATGACCGCGCAATTGTCAATCAAAGTGCAACAGCGCTGAAAGCTGAAAATTGGCCTGGTAAATAAGGGGGTATAAGTGCCCGGTAGGCAAGTGGTTAATAGATGACATCCTGATGGACTTTTTAATATGAAATTATAGCTTGTCCTGTTATTATTTATTTGCATTGCTTGTTTGTAGTATTGCATTAAACACTTTAATTTTTAAGTTCTATTGAACAAATTGTAATGCACTTAATGTGTTCATGAAATGTATACATCAATTACAGATCACTTTCATATACACTCACTAACCACTTTATTAGGTATACCTGTTCAATTGCTTGGTAACACAAATTGCTAATCAGCCAATCACAAGGAAGCAACTCAATGCATTTAGGCATCTAGACGTGGTGAAGACAACTTGCTGAAGTTCAAAATGAGCATCAGTATGGGGAAGAAAGAGGATTTAAGTGACTTTGGCTTGGTTGTTGGTGCCAGATGGGCTTATCTGAGTATTTAAAAAACTGCTGATCCACTGTGATTTTCATGCACAACCATCTCTAAGGTTTATAGAGAATGGTCCAAAAAAGAGAAATAATCCAGTGAACGGAAGTTGTGTGGACAGAAATGCCTTGATGAGGTCAGAGAAGAATGGGCATTCGATTTTAGCTGTGACATTCAGATGGCAGGGTCAGACTTTAGTGTAAACAACATGACAGCATGGATCCATCCTGCCTTGTATGGACGGTTCAGGCTGGTGATGGTGGTCTAATGGTGTGGGGGATATTTTCTTGGCACTAGCAAGGTGTACTTAATAAAGTGGCCGGTGAGTGTATATTTATTAGCAATGGTTTGCACTTTTTTTTAACACTGTCAGCTTTACGTTCTTTGTATCTGCCTGGAGTTTGGCTTTAAAAAGTATATAAAGCATAAAGTATGAAATGGTGCATGCTTTATAGGGTTTCCCTTTAAGTAATTGATTTCCTAAATTTAGAGTTTCTTTTTGAACAAGAGAGGTTTCACTAGAAGCCCTGAAAAGTAAGAAAGAAAAATCTAAAGTTTTATCTGAACCCCCCAGGAACAGCACTCAGGCTTCAATAGACATAATCAAGACAGCCGCTATATAGGAGTATTCTTTCTGATCAGTGTTGGAGCACTGCAGGTTCCTGAGCATTTGACCTTGAAGCACTTTCAAAGAACTGATTAAATTAAACTCGAATCTAAGTGTTTTCCACAATACACACTGACACCTGACAAACTGGCAACACTTTAAGTAAAATTACACCTGTCTGTAAAGATCACAGGGGAGGGCAATGAGGGACAGCTAGCATTTAAACCGTGCACAGCCTGGATTCTTATATGTGATATTATGCGTCTTTTATTGACAGATGTAATTCACAAATTCACAGCAGGAATAAGTGCATTAGGAACAGAAACTTAAATCACATACCAAAGTAAATTAACCAGTTCAAGTCCAGACACTTTTACCCCCTTCCTGTCCAGGCCAATTTTCAGCTTTCAGTGCTATCACACTTTGAATGACAATCCTGTACCCATATGAATTTTTTAGCATTTTTTTGAGACAGATAAAACTTTATTTTGGTGGTATTTACTCACCACTGGGATTTATGTTTTTTTGCTATATAAATGAAAAAGTCCAAAAATTTTGAAAAAAAAGTGGATTTCTTACAAAATTTTGCAAATAAATAATCTTTCTTCATAAATCTTGGCCATAATTTCTTCAGTTATCTTTTTAGTAAAACAAAACAAAAAAAATAACAACCCAAATTAGTCTATAATCCAAAATTATAATTTTTCTAAATTGTTTTCACATTTTGATTTTATTTTTTTTATATTATTTGTTTTTTGTTTTTAACATACTGTCACCATAGTGACACTTTACTACTTGTGGGGGGTGATGAAGATTTTTTTTTTTTACACTGATTGCTTTTACACCCATAAAGGCTGTAAAAGCAATAATTTATCCTTCTCTCTGACTGCATTCTTGCAGCCATTGAGAAATACTGTGTGAGCTGTGATTGGTCACAGCTTGTCACATGGTACAAGGCTGTTGTGAATAGCCTTGTACCATGTGATCTCTGTGATTTCACACGTAGTAAGCAATAATGTCAGAAGTGACATCTTGCTTACTACTATTCATGTGATCACTGATTGGGTAATCAGTGATCATGTGATTGAGACCTCACACAGAGGTCCCGTACAATGATCGGACACAGTGGGCACCAGATCGCGGTGCTCCCAGGGAGCACACACAAGCAGGGAAGCGGGGAGGACATTTATAAACGGCCACCCGCCCCTGCACTGCTCCCGTCCGGCCGTTTATATACATGGGCCGGACGGGAAGTGGTTAAAGAAACAAAATATTAACCTTCCCAAATAAGTTTACAAAGGAATATAGGTAATAATGGTAGAAAAAAAAAGCATGCTAAACTTGGCAACTAAAGTGATTATAAAAAGTAACACTGAAAAAAAAAAAAAAAAAAAATAACAAACATGTCATACTTGCCTGCTCTGTGCAATGGTTTTACACAAAGCAGTTCCGATCCCCCTCTTTTCAGGTCTCCTGCTGGTGTTCCTGGCTCCTCTTCCCTGTCGCATGTCCACCATAGCAAGCCACTTGCTATTGGGGCACTTGTGCGAGCTTGCTAATGAGCCGGCTCTGTGTGTTCAAAGGCAAAGGTCCCGCTCCTTTACTTCCTCCTCACTGGCTATGTGTGACAGCAGGAGCCAATTGCTCTTGAGGATGGCACTTGGCGCAGTCTACGTTATGCGTTTCTGCTTTGTCTCTGAATGCTCAAATGGATCATTTTTTTCAACTATAGCAAGAACTTTCATTGACAATAAGTTTTTTATAAGTTGGTAAACTCTAGACAGCTAGACCTGTCAGTCCATGCAATTAAATCAAATGGAGGACAACCCAGTTTCTTCATACACTGCTACTGAAAGTCCTAACAGCCTGCTCCTCCAGAAGCATTGCCATGCATTTGGCTGCATTGATAAACTTCCATTCCTACCAAAACACTGAGGGTTATTTAGTAAGACTGGAGAGTACAAATGCTTAATTGAACAAGCTGAAGTTAGAAGCTGATAGGCTACCATGCACAGCTGCACCAGATTCTGTGTGCGCCAGTTTTACTAAATCTCCCCATTGTGTTGAAATGCATTTGAAAAAACTGTGGTATACCTCATTTTTAGTACTCTCACCCCAGTATTTCCACTCAAGTCAGTTTATTTGGGTTCTTAAAAAGTGCAAGGTAACAAAATGGCAATACATTGCCTGTTCACATTTTACAGAATGTATTAAGCCCGCACACACACTGATCGGGTACTGAATTTAAAGTGACACTAAAGTTTGTTTTTTTGTTATTCTTTTTTCCCCCTAAAACAGCAAACATGTCTATACTTACCTGCTTTGTGCAGTGATTTTGCACAGAGCAGACCTCTTCTTTTCGGGTCCCCTCTCGAGCGCCTGGCTCCTCCTCCTAGAGCAATGCCCCCAGGGAAAGCCACTCGTCCTGGGGGCACCTCTGCATACTCATCCCTGAGCTGTTGCTCTATGCGTCCATAAGACAAAGAGCTGCAGTTCAGGCCCTCCCCTCGCTTATTCCTCATTGGCTCACTGGCTGTGATTGACAGCAGCAGGACCCAATGGGCTCCCGTTGCTGTCTCAGCCAATGAGGAGGAAGAGTCCTCAGACAGCAAAGGCTGTTGAGAAACAACACTGGATCAGAGGGGGCTCGGGTAATGATGGGGGGAGGGGGGCAGCACTGCACACAGAAGTTTTTTTTTACCTTCATGCATAGAATGCATAAAGGTAAAAAACCTTGAGCCTTTAGAACCACTTTATCTTTCAGTACAGGGCCGAAGGCTTCAGCTAAAATAATAAATCCCAAATGCACATAAATCTAATGTTCGTTATTATTCATAGACAAGTGTTTTTCTTTCACACTGCTGCAGCCTGGTAAACTATCAGTCCTGTCCTGAATATATTGACCATGGTTAGTTAGCACAACATCCCACAAGCATTTATAATGAATTCAGCACTTACCAAAGAGCTGTGACGGGTTGGCATTTGTAGCTTTTTCATAATTAGTAAGACCTTCATAAATGACTTTGCCTACAGCTGCGTATAAGCATTCTAATTCCTCAAACTTGGATGCGACGCTTGAGGTACCTGAAATACAATGCAAAAAAAAAAAAAAAGAAAGTGGAATGCAAACCCTTTTAACATTTCTTCCATGCACTTTTTTCCCACCATCAAAATAAAGAATGACAGAAGGAGAAGATAGAAAGTTATCAGCAGCTCAAGAATCATCAAACTCTGAAAGGCCTGTCAAGACAATGTACATCTACAGCAGTGTCAAGGAATAAATAGTAACCAGGGTGCAGAAAAATGAAGACAATGTTCTTTCTTCTGTGTCCTGTCATTGTAGCTGCATAAAAAGATGTCAATGTGCTCTATGGCTGTGCTCCCCACAAGCTAAAACTGATCCAAATGCCAATATTTATTTCTCCTAATGGAAAGAGCTTGAATCTGGCAAATGAAAATCCATCTACTCATATGCTATGTAGTTCTGGAAGTGCCCTCTTCACTTGTTTTAATTATGTCACTGTTGCAAGTCACAAGGTTCCCTAGGGAGGACAGCACAAGGTACAGTGACATCAATCTTTTTCCTTCCTAACTAAACCTATTCATGAAACAACTAGAGAGCTCTTTGCCCAAAAACCTGCAGACTTTAATTCACACTTACAGCTCTGTTCACAAGTGGTGGTGTTGTGGGAAAGAGAAAAAAGAGAAAAAGAATAGCGCTGTACTTCATACAGTGGATATAAAAAGTCAACAGAAACCTGACATTTTAACAGGGATATGTAATGTAAAAAAAAACGAGACAAAGATAAATCATTTCAGAACGTTTTCCACTTTTAGTGTAACCTATAAACTGTACAACTTAGCTGAACAAACAACTGAAATCTTTTAGGTGGAGGGCAGTAAAAATAAAAAAACTAAAATATTATAGTTGCATAAGTGTGCACACCCTTAATACTTTGTTGAAGTACCTTTTGATTTTATTCCAGCACTCAGTCTTTTTGGGTGTGAGTCTATCAGCATGGCACATCTTGATTTGGCCATATTTGCCCACAATTTCCTTGCACAAACGCTCCAAACCTGTCAGATTGTGAGGGCATCTCCTGTGCACAGCCCCCTTCAGATCACCCCACAGATTTTTGATCGGATGCAGGTCTGGGTTCTGGCTGGGCCATTCCAGAACTTTAATCTTCTTCTGGTGAAGCCATTCCTTTGTTGATTTGGATGTATGCTTTGGGTCGTTGTTATGCTGAAAGATGAAGTTCCTCTGCATGTTCAGCTTTCTAGCAGAAGCCTGAAGGTTTTGTGCCAATCTTGACTGGTATTTGGAACTGTTCATAATTCCCTCTCCCCTAAGGACCCAGTTCCAGCTGAAGAAAAACAGCCCCAAAGCATGATGCTGCCACCACCATGCTTCAATGTTGGTATGGTGTTCTTTTGATGTGCAGTGTTGTTTTTGCACCAAACATATTTTTTGGAATTATGACCAAAAAGTTCAGCCTTGGTTTCATCAGACCATAACACATTTGACCGGGCTTGGATGTTTTTCTTAGTAAGAAAAGGCTTCCGTCTTGCCACTTTACCCCATAGCCCAGGATATATGAAGAATACAAGATTATTTTCACATGTTCCACACAGCCAGTACTTGCCAGATATTCCTGCAGCTCCTTTGATGTTGCTGTAGGCCTCTTGGCAGCCTCCTAGACCAGTTTTCTTCTTGTCTTTTCATCAATTTTGGAGGGATGTCCAGTTCTTAGTAATGTCACTGTTGCGCCATATTTTCTCCACTTGATGACTGTCTTCACTGTGTTCCATGGTACATCTAATGCCTTGGATTTTCTTTTGTACCCTTCTGCTGACTGATACCGTTTAACAATGAGATCCCTCTGATGCTTTGGAAACTCTCTGTGGAATATGGCTTTTGCGGTAGAATGCGAAAATGTCAGGAAAGACCTACTAGAAAAGCTGAACTTTATTTGGGGTTAATCAGAGGCACTTTAAATGATGGCAGGTGTGTACTGACTCCTATTTAACATGATTTTGAATGTGATTGCTTCAGTCTGAACACCACTACATTCCCAGTTATAAAAGGGTATGCACACTTATGCAACCACAGCATTTTAGTTTTTTAGTGTAAAAATGGAGAAGCGAGCGCTACACAAATGTGTCTATATGAGCCGCTAGAACACCAAAAAAAGGTAACCAACCAACCTTTTAGTAAACAAATGGAAAAAAGAGAGGGATCGGTGCAGCGCTTGAATTTATGAAAACATAAAATAAGTACTCGATGTAAATGCCCTAAGCATATAAGCAAAGGCAGAAAAAGAGAAAAATGAAAAATAAAAATAAAATGCAATACGCTGTTCAGTTAATAATGACAAATCATACAATAGTACAAATTCCCATGTCAATTGCTGTAAGGAAACACAAACAGCAAGGAGTGCCTGGTTGGACCAAAGGGAATTCTGACGCCCATACTGAACCCTGGTAATTGTTGATTACGGTGAGATGGAGGATGATGCAGAGTGCGACCTGACCAGAACCCTATTGCCCGAGATGTTTTGAAGATTTATATCTCTCTACATGCGTATTTTATACGTACTTCTGGTGAGTGCGCAATCTATTTGTTTTAAGGACCTTTACCTCTGAACTGCAACACATCCCTTACAGCAATTGACAGGGGAATTTGGACTATTGTATGATTTGTCATTATTAACTGAACAGTGGATTGCATTTTATTTTTATTTTTTCTCTTTTTCTGCCTTTGCTTATATGCTTAGGGCATTTACATCGAGTACTTATTTTATGTTTTCATAAATTCAAGCGCTGCACCGATCCCTCTCTTTTTTCCATTTTAGTTTTTTAGGTTTACTGCCCCCCCCCCCCCCAAAAAAAGATTTCAGTTTGTTTTTCAATTGAATTGTACAGTTTATACGTCACGTTAAAGGTGGAAAAAGTTCTGAAACGATTTATCTTTGTTTCATTTTTTTACATCACAGAAACCTGACATTTTAACAGGGGTGTGTAGACTTTTTATATCCACTGCACTTCTCAAATAATTTGATCTTCCTTTCCCCACAGAAGGCCAGCACCATCTCAACTCAGGTATCATCCAGGATTATTACTTCTCGGCCTACCTTCTGGACTAGAGATGACACTCCCATAAGTCACTCATCCATAACATCATGACCACTGACAGGTGAAGTGAATAACATTGACGAACATCTTGTTACAATGGCATATACAGTGAAGGAAAGTATTAGATTCCCTGCTGATTTTGAATGTTTGCCCATTCACAAAGAAATGATCAGTCAAAAAATCGAATGGTAGGTGTATTGTAACACCGAGAGACAGAATAGCAACAAGACATTCGAAAGAAATGCATGTCTAACAAATTATAACCTGATTTTCATGTTCATGAGGGAAAAAAGTATTTCATCCCCTATCATTCAACAGGATTTCTGGCTACCAGGTGTCTTTCATACAGGTAACAAGCTGAGATTAGAAGCAGTCTATTAAAGGGAGTGCTGCTAATCTCATTTTGTTACCTGTATAAAAGACACCTGTCCACAGGAGCAATCAAACAATCAGATTCCAAACTCTCCACCATGGCAAAGACCAAAGAGCTGTCCAAGAATGTAAGGGACAAGATTGTAGACCTACACAAGGCTGGACTGGGCTACCAAACTATCGCCAAGCAGCTTGGTGAGAAGGTGACAACAGTTGGTGCAATCATTCACAAATGAAAGAAACACAAAACAACTGTCAGTCTTCCTAGGTCTGGTGCACCATGCAAGATCTCATCTTGTGGAGTGTCAATGATCATGAGAACAGTGAGGAATCATCCCAGAACTACAGGTGATGATCTTCTCAATGATCTTCAGGCAGCTGGGACCACAGTCACCAAGAAAACAATTATTAACACACTACGCCGACGAGTATTGAAATCCTGCAGTGCCCACAAGATCTCTCTGCTCAAGAAAGCACATGTCCAGGCCCGTCTGAAGTTTGCCACTGAACATCTGAATGATGCAGAGGAGGAATGGTTGAAAGTTTTGTGGTCAGATGAGACCAAAATTGAGCTCTTTGGCATCAACTCACCTCGCCGTGTTTGGAGGAGGAGAAATGCTGCCTATGACCCCAAGAACACCATCCCAACTGTCAAACATAGTGGTGGAAACATTCTGCTTTGGGGGTGTTTTTCTGCTAAGGGGACAGGACAACTGCACCGCATCAAAGGGACGATGGACGGGGCAATGTACCATCAAATCTTGGGTGAGAACCTTCTTCCCACAGCCAGGGCATTGAAAATGGGTCACAGATGGGTGTCGCAGCATGACAATGACGTAAAACACACTGCCAAGGCAACAAAGAAGTGGCTCAAGAAGAAGCACATGAAGGTCCTGGAGTGGCCTAGCCAGTCTCCAGACCTTAATCCGATTGAAAATCTGTGGAGGGAGCTGAAAGTTCAAATTGCCAAATGTCAGCCACCAAACCTTAATGACTTGGATAGGATCTGCCAAGAGAAGTGGGCCAAAATCCCTCCTGAGATGTGTGCAAACCTGGTGGCCAACTACAGGAAACGTCTGACCACTGTGATTGCCAACAAGGGATTTGCCACCAAGTACTAAGTCATGATTTGTGAAGGGGACCAAATACTTATTTCCCTCATGAACATGTAAATCAGTGCATAATTTGTTAGACATGCATTTCTTTTGAATTTTTTGTTGCTATTCTGTCTCTCAGTGTTACAGTACATCTACCATTCGATTTTTAGACTGATCATTTCTTTGTGAGTGGGCAAACATTCAAAATCAGCAGGGGATCAAATACTTATTTCCTTCACTGTATTAGGCAGCATTTGAACATATTGAGAGTTATTTACTACAACTGTAGAGTGCAAAATCTGGTGCAGCTCAGCAAAGAAACCAGTCAGTTTCCAGGTTTTACTGTCAAAGCATAATTGAACAAGCGGAAGTTAGTGGCTGACTGATTACCATGCACAGCTGCACCAGATTCTGAGTGCTCCAGTTTTAGTAAATCAACCCCATTGTCTCTGAAGTTGGAGTGTTGAAAAAAAAAAAAAA